CTGAAGGACACATGGAGATGGGTTAGAGAGCTTGTGGATGAATCCTCACACCGTAAAGAGGAAGAGAAGCTCCAGAACCAGTTTCATGTTAAATACAGTCAAAGCCCGCGGGTCTCAAACTTCCTCACTGAGTTCGACAAAAACAACGTTTTGTCTTTATTTTGACCCTCTTTGATTCTAACCTCAATTAGCAGGTTTTTTGAAGAATACACAAGCATGACTCAGATCTCTTCTCCTAAAAGATTCGGGAGCTTCCCATGCATGGAAACTTTCCTCCCCGGTGAGAGAAGACTCGCGTCTAAACACCAGGATTAGAATTTGTCACCGCTGACATATTCACACCTGAGACCATCATTATTATTTTGGTGACAGATCTTATCAGCATTGGCATCACATGACTAAGTGTGACAGCTGAGTGTCGAAGGCCACTTGGAGACGATTCTAGCTGCAATTCTTCAAGTGGCTGTGATGTGTCACGGTGACAGAGGAAACTTCAGAACAAAGGGGCGGGGGTGCATGCTGGATACGAGAATAACGCTGTAGAAATATTAGATTTAACTTCCTCTCTCACTGCTTCATTCAGATAAAAGTAAAAAGGCACTGTTTCAAGATTATAACCCGCTGGTGCACGTATGGCTGCAGCTCTGCAGCACTAAAGCTGTGTTAATGAATGACTGTTTTCAGTCTCAACGCACACTTATGAGGACATTATTCTCCTTGTGGATTTGCACAAAGACATCTGGGGTCAGCTTTGACACGTAGCAGCTCGTTTATTGCTGCGTTCTAGCCTGAAGTTGGGATTCATTTAAATGCAGTAGTAGTTTTTTTGCAGAATTATATTTTTTTTCTCCAGTCAAATTTTGCACTTTTTAAGCACTTTACACAAGTCCAGCTTTAGTTTTTGTTTCAGCTTAACACCAAACTGCATTTTGAGCATTAATTGCACATTTTAAACAGAATAATGTCGTATTTCCCCCGGATTTCTTCATTTTTTCAGGATTAAGAATGCTCAGCTGCTCAGTTTATGAGGTGACCAAAGGTTTTAGATTTAGAGGCAGAAGATAAGAAATAACAGTGGCCTCAGACAGATACAGAATTGCCTTTAATATTTACCTTATAGTTGTACGATCCTGGTCAGGTGACAACAATGATTTATTTTTCTAAAAAGTTCCTTCTTCATAGATTTGGAAAATTATTATTTTCATACTAATATTTATCATGTGGTGTCTAATGTGCAAATTTAAATAATTCACTGTGCATCTTTGCAGATGAGCATGGAAGAGGAATCAAACCCACAAATGATTTAAGAATTAAATAAAAATGAGATTATTGTCTTCCTAAATGTGAGGGTGGAGCTTTAACATGTGGGAACATCTGCATGAAGGTGTTGAAAGTAGCATGCATGCACGTGTAACTCCTTGTTTTAAACCTTAACCCTTTTTGATGCATGAATTATGAAATCTTCAACCATGATTTTTTTATCAATTTTTTTCATTCATCTTTAGGTGTGAATGAAACAAATTTCAACAAATATTTTTTGTAAAATTTTATAATTTATAAATAATTTATTACATGTCCACTTCAGTGGACAGCGTGCGTTCTGAGCATGAAATATGTTGGCTTGGCTTACTGAAGTCCAAATGGAGGGGCTCAAATGCAATAAAGTCTTCAACAGCTGTGCTTAATAGCAAAAAATAAATAAATAACAATTTTGAGTACCTGTCCACTGTAGTGACCATTATGCACCAAAGGGTTAAGCAGGTCTTTCCTCTAATGTGTGCTGAACTCGTGGCTTTACATGTATGAAGGTGCAAATTACATATGAGCTCACCTCATATTATAGGAGAAAAACTATAAGAATCAAACACAACCCTGGATGAGTGTGCACCAGCATATACCAAGGTCATTCCAACATGAACCCATGCAGCAGTGACCACTGTAGTTTCCTAGTATCAGCCTCACCCCCGTTATGGATAAACAGATGTGATTGGCCGGTACCAGGCAAGACGAGGGTCACAATATTAGCTTAAGGGCAAGCGAGGCCGTATGCATTCAGCCAAAGCAAATGAAACGTGAGCTCTGGGTTCATCTTGTTCTCAGGCCATGTGTAAACAGCTGTACGGGACAAATATAATAATGTTTCTGTTCTGACTGTCTGTGAAAGAGCGCGGTGGAGAAGCTGCTGTGGACAGATCATTGTTCTGTAGAAACAAATCAGAGGCAACTACAACCACAAGCCTACACTTAATGTTGAGTTATAAACACAACATTTCCCATTAAAACCCTGTGGAAGGTTTGGAAATCAAAACACGCAAAGATGGAAGGTGGAAAATTCCGGTTTCAGTGCGAGTTTAGTCTTCACATTGAACTAGACACCTGACTTCAGTTTCACTCATCTACGTGTTCCCGTTCAGAAGAACGAAGCAAGCAGTGGCAGGGAGAAAGAGCAACCAGATCCACAGGGAATCAGGTAATTAATCGCTGGATAGAAAGAGGCAGAGAGGTGGAGGGCTGGGTCGGTACCCATAAACGCTGCGTCGCATCAGAGCCAATTACCACAACCACAACAGTCCGCCTTCAACTCAGTACCCTCACCTCAACTACGTCCTGACGCCCTGGCAACCACAACCACAAGCGCCTTCAGCTGTCTGCCAACACACACACGCGCGCACACACACACACGCACACACACACACACCACACACACACACACACACACACACACATACGCACACACACATGTACAAACATGCGCAAACACTGGTGCACATGCACACAGGTGCATGCACACACACACACACACACACACACACACACACACACACACATTCATGCATGCACAAACACACTCATGTGCGTGCACACACAGACACACATGCACACACATGCATGCACGCACAAACACACAAGCACACTAATTCGTGTACACACACACACACACACACACACACACACACACACACAAACACTTCCACACACATCCACACACACCCACATACACACACACATGCACACACACACACATACACACCCACACACACACACGCACACACACACACCCTCGCAATGCATGCACAAACACATACGCACACACACACACATGCACACACGCACACACACACATATACAAACATGCGCACACACAGGTGCACATGCACACAGGTGCATGCACACACATGCACTCACATGTATACACACACACACACACAATTATGCATGCACAAACACACTCATGCCTGTGCGCACACACACACATACACAAACACACACACACATGCATGCATGCACGCACAAACACACTCATTTGTGCATACACACACAAACACACACTTGCATGCACAAACACACAGTCACACAATCACACACACACACACACACACACACACACACACACACACACACACACACACAAGCCCAGAATTACAACCAAGAGGGCATGGGATAAATCAAGAGAGGGATGGAGTAACGGCGTGTATTAGGAGATCAGGGAGTGTGTGAGTCTATTTATATAGCTGGAACCTAAGCATTGAAACACACACACATACACGCACACGCCCAGATATCGCCACCATCTCTTGCTCCTGGTGTTTTCACTCTGCAGTCATAATAAATTTCAGAGGAGGAGAGAAAGACACATCTAGACATTTATTTTCTCAGGTTTGCTCCCTCTTTCTCTCAGACAGGATCTTATTTCCTTTAGATGCTGTCTGGAACAGCTGGAACATCAGTGGACATTTAGCCCTTCACAATAAAACTCAAAGGTATTTCCAGACGAGGGCAGCTTGAAGAGCCTCAATCACAAAAGTTATGAATCTATTGTTCTGGACTTTGTTGCATTAGCTGTGATCTCCAACCTTCTCCCACTTTCCATCTTTTGCCGATTTATTCATTTTCCTTTTCTCGTCTTTTATTCCCCTTTTCCTGCTTTCTGTTGGTGAGATGAGAAGAAACTCACATTTCCCCGCTCCCTCTGGCCTGCTGGTATGGAAAATTATTTCAGTGGCTATAGCCGCTAACATAAACCTACTTTCTGTCCCGGGTTCTGTCTCCTTCTCCTCCTCTTCTTGTCTTCCTGATTTCAACATTTGCTTTATCTCTTTCCATCTGCCACCACTCCCATTTCTCCTTGCAGGATCAATGCTCAAACAGAGGAGCTAACCGCTGGATTCAGTTTTCACATTTGTAAAAAAAAAAAAAAAACTTTCAGAACTATAAAACAATATTTTTCTGCATGCATATGTTACGTATTACAAATACAGGCTGCTGACGGAGGAGGCAGCTTGTTCAGTCTCCGCAGTGGTAATTAAAACACAAGAAGCCGTTGCATGCTTCCTGTTTTTCCCAGTTGGCATCATAACTTGAAAAAGTGTGTCAACACGAAAGCAGAGAATCCTCCGATGTTGACAGTCTGAAGTAATAAAAACTAGAATCATGCGTTTATGTTTACACTGATGCAATCATCTTTATTTAGGGGAACCAAATCCGCTTTAGTTTAACAATGCTCTAATGTGACAAGAGGAGGTTTGGATGTTTTAGGAAAACACCTAAAAGCTGAAATGTAAATAACTGGACTTGACAAATAGCAGGATGTGACGTCAGTTGTAAAATTGTTGGAGAATCTGAGATTTTATGGATTGTTCTCCCTTAAAAGCAAATAAATAAATGTAAATTTTCATCGAGAACCCAAGCACGGCGGACTCTGCAGCCATTTTAGTGCCTGAGGCAAGATAAAGGTTTACCCCCTCAACAAATAAATACACACACATATGAGACGGTTCAAATTGCAACTTAATATGACGTAATAGCTTGCCACACCACTAGCACGAAGCCTTGCTGCTGCTGCTGCTGCTGCTGCGGTGGCGGATCAAAGGGAAACTTTTCCACACAGATTTTAGAGGTTGAATGTATGCAAAGACTAGCTGTGAGTATTACAGTAAATGTGTGTGTGTGTGTGTGTGTGTGTGTGTGTGTGTGTGTGTGTGTGTGTGTGTGTGTGTGTG